TGATTTAAAAAATTACATTTCTATATTATAGGATTCCTATATCTGAGAATTGGTAATTTTAAATTAAATGCTGTGCTTTTGAATCTTGGAACGATAATAAACAAAAAATATTTTAGACTCACAAATTAACCATTTGTCACGAGTTAATTATTTAAAATACTTACCCACATGTTTGTATGCAAAAATGGCACATTCTTTGAAAGTTGTACAACCTACAAAAAAAAAAAATAATTAAAGATTTAAAATAGGCAATGCGTTTACCCATGATTACTTATGTATATTTTGTAAAATATTCAATTCATAAATTCAAATTTAAAAATTAAATGTCACCTCGACTTTTAACGAGTCATCTACTTTTTTTTTCAGCTTAAGAGTTTAAAATGTAAAAATGTTATGAAAAATGTCCAAAAAAGAAAAAATGTGTACTTATATAAAATCAATAATTATAACTAGGCCTGTCCTACATTTTGACCCTGAATTCGTCTCTGGTTATTTATTGTATCACTTCATCATAGCGCATGTTTAAGGTTATGAAGAATATTCGTGTTCTTACCGATTATTTAGATATCGAGTGTATTCGTCAAATACACGACATGCGTGAATGGTTTACTTGGCAATTCATGTTAAATAGCCGATTAATCATGTTAATTTCGGGTATTAGTGTATAATCGGAAAATATACGAGTCACGAGTTCACGAGTGTGAACCCGGCAAGAGAAAATATTCAACTTTTAGCATATAATAAAAAGTAAACTATTTAATAACTTACCTCCGAAAGCAGTTGATATTTGATCTGTTAGAACATAAACATTGTAATTAAATATACTATTATAATAAATAATTGATTAATAAATAATATTGACTGCACTTATATATGTAGTAATGTATATAGATAATCGTTTTACATTTTGAGAAATTCTAAATTACTATTGCTATTCAATTTCTGAGGTCTATGTTATAATTTATATAGGTATATCTACTAAGAATTTATTTTGAACAATACCCTACTAAGTGTGTGTCAGTTGGTTAACAAAAAGTGGACCATTGTTTATTTATAAATAAGATATGATAATACGAAATTCATAATATTAACATACAAAAACATAACACAGTCTGCAAGAATTTAAATATTAAAATATTTAGTCGTTCGGAGTAAATTATCACAAGGAAATTCAAATGAGAATAAGTTTGCCTAATAATTTTTTTTTTAAATTTAAAACAATTTTCACGTTTAAATTGTAATGAAACGGGACAAACTTGACGATGTATGTTTCGATAAAAAGTATGACTATCTCCACCGTATTGTATATGCATGTAAAACATGGGCAACAACTGAAATGGATAAAAAAAACTATGAAAATGGAATATTTGAAAAATAAATAAATAATATGACAGGCATTCTGCTCGAAGAGAGGTAAGGATACTGCAGAATACCAACAGAGAACTGACTAAGAAATAAGAGATATTTAAAAAATCTTTAGATATACCTACTTGAACCATTACTATAAAATGTATAATACTTAGCTGTTAATAGATATAATGAAAGACGAACTGTAAAGAAGATGAGTAAGGTAAATATGAAGAACAGTAATTGTAGCAAAGGTTAAGAGGGATTAAATGAAATGAAAAAAAATGAAAAAAGCTGATACTCGAGACAGGTGTATCACTGTTGTAGGTAGGAATATAGGAAGATAGGATTCATATTATCGTGCGCACGAGAAAAGCAGGAGGGGCCACTGCCTTCCTTGCGAGATGATCCACCAAAATATTTTTAAATAAAACATGTAAGTTATACATTTTATTAAAAAATATTAAACCCTAATATTCACTTAATTTTGTGTATTGGCACGAACAGGAAAGGAACATTTGGAGAATTTTGGCACCCTCCACCGAATGTTCAACCAAGCCCATTAAAATAAAGTCCTCATCAATTAAATACTAGGTATAAATAATCAATATAATGGGAGCTTAAGCCTCTTCTAAATACTTGCACTGTTTGTGCCTATGATTTGTCTGTAAGGTTTAATTTCAAAGATTGTTGCCTCTTTTACAAAGAGGACCTGCGTCATTTATAAGGATACATAAAGTTAATATAGATTTATATCTGTAGGCAACGATAAATCATTTATAACGTAAAATGATTCAGAGTGAAGTTCAGTTATAAATGTTTTTAAATGCTCTCTTATTTTTGATTTTCGTCAAAATTTAATTTTGAACAACTTTTAAAAAAAAAAACTACACTTTACTACGCTTAACTTTTTTTTTTTACTACCAAGTTCAACTTAAAATAAATGCACTATTCAATTTCTATGCATTCTATTTTGGTTTAACTATTTTATCCATATAATAGGTTAGGTTCCTACTTATAAAATAAAAATAAAAAAAAAAATATAAAAGGTCAGATACTGATAATATCTGGTTCATAATTTGCAGAATGCTTTTAGAATATAACCATTTATAATAAACGAATATAATAACTATTTATATAGTTCTAACTTTTACTAACTTTTACGTTTTTCTACGTTTTTTCCTATTATAAAAGATGATACTCTTGATATTGGAGCAAAATTTCAGGTACAAAACAAAAGTTTAAAATAACGAAATCGTTTATGACGTAGCGCGGTGTATAGCAAATTATTGTCCATTTTTCAAAATTTTCCCAATTATTATGAAAACTGCTTGGAAAATTAAAAAAATGACCTCTTCAATGCACCAACTAAATCCAACATTATTAAAAAAATATCTCTTGTCGTTTTTTGATTGGAACATAATTCCTGGTATGGTGGAACAGACAAACACAAATAAAAAAAGCACAGTTCACATATAATTGTAAAAATAATATTTTAACATTATAATTCGAATATAAATATGAAAATAAAATGGACAAAACCATTAAAATAATAATCTATTAATCATTAAATCTATAACTATGAGATTTATTGGTCAATAACATTAGTTCTAACTAAAGGTTTTTTCTGTGACTATTAGAATTTATTAAAATTTCCTATATATATTGTATAAAATAATAAAATATTAATATTTATTTTATTTTAATAATAATTAAACTGTATTTAGTTCACCCGTATATGTATACGAGTATAATACAGTTCACCGTATAAAGACAAAATTTAATAATACATTTGAAATTAAAATATGCTCTTAAAAATATTTGATTGTTTAATATTATAATGATTATTTTTTACGATATAATAATATTATTATGCTCTTACCGATACACTTGACTAGAATTGTTTAAATAAAAATAATTTCAATTATCAATGGTTTTCGTAATTTTGTTTCTTATTTAAAATTTATAAATAAACTTTTTTTTTTTTAAATAAGACAACATTTATTTTAAAATTATTATTTATGTTTTTTATTGATGGCGATTCCGTACGCACCTTGTTCACTATTACAATTGTATACAGTTTACCTGCTCAAATTTATTACAACGCGGCGGTTGTTCCCTCTTGATACCCATTAAAAATTGCGTTCGCTCCTTCATTATTACTATGATTGCCTATGTAGTAGACACATTGTAATGAATTCATTCAATTATGGTGTATTGGTTCCATAAGGATTTTCAAGTCTTCAACCTTATAGCACGTTGTATAAACAAAAACTTATAGCTTATATGTTGCAGAAGCTGGAACGTTACGGAATTTCGAGTATCTGTTTGATAGTACCTATTTAGTATATTTAATTACAATAATGTAGTGGTGTGGCGTGATGTAGTCAGTGAGTGGAGTAAGTAATCACCAGCAATTGTAAACCTACTTTAACGGAGCGCACGACACACTTAAACGGTCTTTCTCAGAACCAAAAAAATGATAAAGTTGGCGAGGTAAAAGAGCACTTGGGTAAGAACTAATATAGGTCCAGGATATGCCTTTTCCTCGTCAAAAGTTAACAGCCAACTAATGGGAGGTAACTCTTCAAATTATAAATATCAATACCCGTAACTAAAGAAAGACGTCCCACTCTCATCGGAATATTGCAAACTAGACAAAATACGCAATCAACCTGCAAGCTATAGCCGTGACGACAGCCAATCAACGACGACGCTTTAATTATCAAAACGGTATAAAAGCGGCCGTCCTGATTACTGAGCGCAACCGTGACGACTACCAAATGCACGACTTGCACTAGTATCACGTGACGACCAATCACGCTCTCGATGAACCTAACCTAACCTAGTATAGTACCTAAGCGTAAAGTGTAATAATTGACCACGCTACCAACGGGCAGTCGCTCACGTGCAAACTAACCGGTCCTTCTTAAGATACACCAAGGAACGTTTTACACAACAGCGAACACTGCCAATTATCGACCGAAAAACGATTATATTACGACGACCCAGCACCGGAATAACCACCAGCGTCGGAGAAATACGCTCTCACCGCCGATGGGAACTGTATGTCATCCGATTCCACGAGCCATTACCAAGGACTAGTACCTACTAAACAGTCGTTTTTACGGTTACCAATATATCTCGGTTCCCCGGTGCGCTTTTACAAGTGGTCGTCTCGGGCCTCTAGTCTAGTCAGGACTTGCTGAATTCCGAGACTGGCTAGGAGAAAATTGAACATAGCATTTATTTAGGACCAGGCGGTAATAAATTTACTACCAGTAAAAAAAAAATCAGTTCGTGTAGTAATTTTTAAAAGAGATAAACGTACGGAATCGTATAAATTTACGATCCCAAATCAATTTTACCTGAACAAAATTCAGTTGGTCCTTTTTTTTCTTTCCAATTCATTACTATTATACATAATAGAATAATATTAAAATTAAATTATAATATTAGGTTAGTAAATATATGTGTATAGGCGTAACACGTTTTCACCAAATGTGTACCTTCCTCTTTTCCACCATATAAGAAAAATGACCGAATTATAACAAATTAGAAAAATGGACAATTGGAATTACCTTTCAATAATATTAGATTTAATAAAATAATAACTAAATATATTTATAAAAACAAAATGTTGTTTTAATTTTTAGGTCTCAACAAAAAATATTAAAACCTATGACTATAAAACCTATCAGGCAATCAACAAGGCAATACGGCCTACGCTGGACCGGTGATACATGTAAAAATAATTTGAGTCATTCATTTCTTCTTGAAATTAGTGAAACATAAATCCAAACAACCAGTATTCAGATATTCTTAAATAAACACACTAAATTAACACTCTCATCCTCATATTGCCTCCCCCACCCGGCCCTAAAATTAGTATGAATAATTTCAAAAATGTCTTTGAAACACTAGGTAAATACTTTATAATAGCTGGCGATCTCAACGCAAAAAAATCTACCTGGAGATATTTTTCAATTAATTATAGGAGCAGAACTCTCTAAAATTTACTATAAAGCTCCAAAATAAAAATACTAACACCCCTTCACCCCAATTATTGGCCTTCACATCTGAACATACGTCCTAATATCCTGGACATTTTTATAGCAAAAATCCCAACTAACTGTAATACCATTGTCTACAATATAAATTATCTATTATCCGACCACTCACCAACCATACATGACTTCAAAATCATTTCTTCTAATACTTATGTTAGTTCTCTAGCTTCTCGGAAAAATAATCTGGCCCACTTTCCAAAAACTGATAGAAACACAACCCCCCATAAAATAAAGTGATTATATTGAAAATATTATCCTAAAACTCACAACTGAAATACAGGAATGCACTCACTTAACAATTACCCCTAGTTCATCTTACATCATAAACAACCCACTCCCAAACCATATTAAAAACCTTATTTAAAAAAAAAGTAAAGCTTGATCCCACTGCCAAAAACATAAAAACACCCAAAAAAAATAATCCTCTTTCGATCCATTTTTCTTCACCTACCTTCCTCTGAACTTTGGTACATTACAAACATTAACCTTCACAAAGAACTCAAAGTTCACACCTTAAAATAAATCTCTAATATTTACTACATAAAAGTCTACAATAACCTCCAGTCGCATACCAATACCCTAATCCCCAAATTATATTCAAAAACACTACCTGACAACCCACGTCGAAGATTAAAAAGGAAATGGTGTGGGGAATATTTGTCTTAACATCGTGAAAAAAAAGTGTATTTAAAAATTCTTCTATATCAATTGCAAAATGTATATGTACTTGTATAGACTGTAATATACTTTAAGAAATAAAAAAAAAAATTTCATGTACCGTTTTGTGAAAAGTATTTTAGGTAATTATATAAGTAGGTACATTGTACAATATACATAGTAAGATATACTATAAAATTATATCAACAGTGCATTAAATATTATGGTTTCGATGAAAACGAGTATTGGCGGAAAAGAGGAACGTACAATTTTTGTAGAAATGGTATCGCTCATTAGTATTATTATCTAAAAATTATAATACGAGTGTTCTCCCAAAATATTTTCCGAAAACAGTAAATTATCAAATTTGCTTTCTCTTTAAAATAATAAGATTTTATATTTCGATAAGATAATAAGATAATACAAAATGCTATTCTTCTCAATTAATTTAAACACATTGTATTTGATTCAAATTTATTGTTAGGTAATACAAGAACATAATTAAAATGTTCGTGCATGTTAAACATTAAGTGGTTAGGTTAATTTAGCTTAAATGCTGTATGATACGATAAATGCCAAAGAAAAACTAAACTATTGAAAATAATTAATAGATTTCAAACAAACTACTACCTGTTATACGTACTACATTACAATACGAATTAAAAGAAAAAAGGTATCCTAGAATAATGAGGACGGGTGCAGTCACTGTTGTAGGTGGGAAGTTAGGAAGTTATGATATAGACTTGAATTTAATGTATATCTGTATGCAACGATTAACCATTGTTTACGAAAAAACGATTCTGAGCAGAGTTTAGTTGATAGTGATGCTTTGTTAACAATATATATGTCATTTTATAGTAAAATAATTAAATACGCTTTACATATTTTCTTTAATAATATTTGTTGTATCGATTTTACCAGATTTTCTATGTTTTTCCCGGTTTTCTCATGTTTTATCTCGGTTCTTCATATTTACTGGAAAAATTCTTGAGAAAATTAAAAAATAACCTCTTTATGGTAACTCTCTACGCCGATTTCTTTTCAGAAAAATGCTATACGTAAAAATCCGAGCATGTCTTCTGTTAAAAAAGTTGCGCATAGATAAAATAAATTACTTTGCAAAACTATAACTTCTTCGCTCCACTTAGAATCTAAAAGTTGATATATTTTTAATATTTAGTGATTAAAGAAAATGAAATTAACAATAAATGCACTACAGTCCATATCAATGGAATATTGATTTATTTTTCGGACGTTTCTTATAATTTATAATGTATGCCAGTAGCACCCATATTAGTTTTAAACGTATGGCAAAGCGGGGGTTGCATCGATTCTGCAGACCTTTTTATGCTAGGGGATAAGGTGTATCGATTCCGTCAGTACAATTAGTCTTAAAACAATCCATTGATTCTGCCATCGAACCAGATAAAAAATAATTTTAATAGTTGGATTTGACTTACATAGCTTATTATAATTATCATATAAAATACCTGTATAAAAATATCATTTATATAGTTTTAGAAATATATCTGAAATATTGACTTGTTATTGCTAATTTCGTGTGGATGCCGATTAATTTCGACTAATTGTCGTGTCATAATACATCACAATAATGAATTTTGAAATTGTATTTGGTGAACGACAAAATAACTAGGTTATTTATCAATATGAGAAATTTGTTTGGATTTGTAGACTGCAGGTTCCATTTAACTTAAAGTCGGTGGTGAAAAATTCAAGAAATTGGACTAACAGAACAGTATCAAAATAAAAACTGTAGGTCGGGAATATGGTTACAAAAAATGTTTGGGCTTTCTTTTTCAAACCCAGAAGAAGTTTCTGATTATTTTGTAGAAGATTTAATTGCACACTGCCCTAATGATCCAAAAATATTACAAATTTGTGATTATTCAACTGAAAATTACATTGATGAATTTTCGAAATTTCCAACAATGTTTGGGCCTCTTTTTCTATTTTTTCTGAACGAACCACAAACAGTTGTGAATCTTTTTATGCAAAATTCAATTCATTGTTTACAAAATCACACCCACTTATTTTTTTTATCAATACCCGTCTTAAATACAAAGATCTAATCAGATACATACATTTTACTCATGTTAACTCACAAAAAAAAAATTAGTTAAACACAAAATATATTTATCGAAAAAAAAAATCAAAGATTTATTAAAAGATAATTGAGCTAAAATATTAATCGTTCACATATTATTAGTTTGGAATCATTACGTTATAAAAAATAATATTGTACAACTTTTGACTATGTATTGTACCTATATAGAAATAAATAAAAAAAATTATTGATATCATATACATGTAAACCTTTTTTTTTTAAATGTATTTATTGTTTTGTAAATACCTAAATAGATGAGTAAATAACTCTAAAAAACATTACTTTTTAGTTTAAGATAAATGTAAATTAATTTTTTAATAAACTTAAGAAGGAAACGGATACACAGCAGCATATATAGGTAAAAATTGGTAACTAGCAGAATCGATAGGTTGTTTTTAGACTACCTGCTACATGTATTAGCGAAGTCGATACTGGTGAAATTGATGCTATATAATTGGCGAAAACAATAGGTCCCCGGCAAAGTGTACATTTAGTACCATCCACCTTATAACAGTGGCGCACCTGTCCAAAGTATTGGTTTTTTTCCAACATTTATCGGTGGAAATTTAAAATTTAAACATTCTTTATTTATTAAGATCCTGATTTTTTTCTTGTTAAAAACATTCTTTCATATTATACACCATAATTATATAGTTATAAAGCCAAATTATAATTATATTAATAACAAAATCAATTTTACACAATTTGTTGAAATAATTCAGTGAATAGTGAAATATTTAATTTTAATATATAATTAATATAACACTAATTATATTATGAGTGCAAGTCCCTTCCCCATCGGCCCATGGTTTGTTTAAAAAAAAAAAATAATATATGTATACCTGCAGTATCGGCAAGTAATGTAGTTTTAACAGCCCTTAAACGATACAAAAAATCTTCGTCTGTAATGGAAAAATATTATTGCACGTTTATTTGATTGATACAATACAATTAATATATCTATTTCAGTAATATTATAATTTTTAAATTTTCACTTGAAATACCTACTGAATCAGCCATCAAAATATGGCAGTGGCGGTTCGTGGTGTTAAAAATAGACGCTACATAAATTAATAATTCACAAGTATTGACTATTAATTGAACTTACGCGGTTGTATGTCATTTTTTACACTTTCTACACAAAATAAGTAAGTATATAAACATTAAGTGAATTAATTAAGTTGCTATAAATAGACCATAAAAGTGTAATTAATGAATAATCAGAGTTTTTGTATCATTAGAAAAAAAAAACCAGAAATAATTCACGCCATAGGTATAGGCTACTGTTGTTTGGATTAAACTGAAACCGTATATAATATAGGATATATAGTTTGTACACTGAAGCAACCAGTAGCGTACGCAGTGAAGTGTCAAAGAGATATGACAACCCCCCTAAAATAATTTAAAGTGCCTTTTCTAATTATGAAACAATGTCTAAAAAAAAAAAAAGTAAATTTTCCTGATAAACCATTATCATTATCAATTAAATTTAAACGAATTGTTCCATGCACATAGGAGTCAAGACGAAAAATATGTTCCAACCTCAAATGTTCATAATAACTGCGGCGTAATTTACATTGTTAACACCATGATAAAATAAATTTATTGTCATATTTAATATATTATTGTTTAGTTTTTCTTATTTGTTAACTAAATAAATTATTTTCTAATGCAACTAAGTATAAAAAAAGAAAATATTTGATAATTTTTAATATTATTGATATTGGAGAAGCTCTTTCAAGGTAAACTTGAATTTGAATGTATTTAATGATTAATTTTAACTTCATAAAATAACTTATAAACTATTAATTAATTATTAAGCTAATTGGATTGATTTAATATTTGTGAACAGCAAACATATTTTACATCCACTAGCATATTTCAAGATGCCGGGCTTAATTTTACGAAATACAGCTTTAATGATAATATTTTTTCAATTGCAATTGAAATCTTGAAATTTTTTTTAGTGAAGAGCAATAACAAAGATCATCAATTGATATATATTATGAAATTCCTCTTGAAAATATTCTGCGTACGCCACTGGAAGCAACGATGATAACCATTACAATGTAACAACTAGTGTTGATTAATAGTGATAGTTTTTAGTTTCCTCTTGTATTTATAACACAGAAATCAAGAATATTAACCTTCTGTATTGTCATTTGTTTTCAAGTTTTTAATTTTTTTTTTTTTTTTTGGATTACTCTGAGAATTTTGAAAAATGTTTCAAATGAGTTTTTTAGATTTTTTAAGGTACGATGTGAATAATTTGACGTATTTTTTCTTAGTGAAAAAGTGTCATATGAACTTGTTATATTTCTATTAACAACAATGGTCCACCTATGCTGTGAAGTATATGCAATTTTTTTTTTTTAAACTTAAAAATATACAAATAAATTTCGGTAAATATAGTATAAACCAATAATATAAGTAAATAATTAAATTTATTTTACATACTTGACCAAAAAAAAGCTCGTACCACAGAACTATAGGCGTACCTTTCTATATAATAAAAATATTAATAATTCGATATTTTTATTGCATACACTATAAAATTAGCTAACAAATTGATATTCATAAAATACGTTTTGTGAAAGTATGCATGCAATATCAGTAGTAACATACTCCTAGAATTATTTTTCCCCTTTTAATTATTACCTTGATTTAAAATTTTAATTAAATACAAATTATACTTTAGGCTCATGCCCACTACTTACGCCAGAATCCATACATCTTGTTTTCTAGTATGCATTCTAGAATAAAATAATATGAGTTCATTTATAAAAAGTAATTAAAAGGTCATATGTGATAGGATCTATGTGTTTTTAGTGTTATGATCCTTATCTTTTTTGGACATTTGTATGTTAGAGCTAATAAAATATCATTAGTATAAGTGTTCTAAAATATTATCAATTTACTATTAATTTCTGTCGACGCTCACTGCACCTACGTTTCCATGCCCAATAATAATGGCATGCCCAATAATTAGGCCTAGGATTTCTATGCAATTTTATGATTTTTTCTTTAGCTCAAATTGCTCACTTTGTTAGATGAGTCCGCGATTGGGATTATTCTTGATTGAGTAGAATAATTTTTTTTTCCATATTTTGAACATAATGCATCTTATAATATTTCCACATTTAGATTTTTGAGTATTATATGAATTTTAGTATTTATTTAATGGACGTCTGTATAATTATTGTGTTATTTTTCGAATTNACGTTTCCATGCCCAGTAATAATGCCCAAAAATTAGGCCTAGGATTTCTATGCAATTTTATGATTTTTTCTTTAGCTCAAATTGCTCACTTTGGTAGATGTGTCCGCGATTTAAATTATTCTTGATTAAATAGAATAAATTTTTTTCCATATTTTGAACATAATGCATCTTATAATATTTCCACATTTAGATTTTTGAGTATTATATGAATTTTAGTATTTATTTAATGGACGTCTGTATAATTATTGTTTTATTTTTCGAATTATCATAAATATTAACTTGGATTACTAAAACATTATTTAACGGCATATATTTTGAGACAGTGCAAAAGTACTAACAAANCCATATTTTGAACATAATGCATCTTATAATATTTCCACATTTAGATTTTTGAGTATTATATGAATTTTAGTATTTATTTAATGGACGTCTGTATAATTATTGTGTTATTTTTCGAATTATCATAAATATTAACTTGGATTACTAAAAAATTATTTAACGGCATATATTTTGAGACAGTGCAAAAGTACTAACAAATAATATCCAAAATCGACCGCATAAGTTATTTTTTATTAGCCTGAATTCTATTGCCATTTAGGTATTTATGTTTAGTATAAATAAAAGAAATTTGTTTTAGCATTTTTTGTTTGCATATTTTAGTAAATAAACTGCATATTATAATATTTATTGCATATAAATTCTAGAACTATTAATAATAATATTTTTCGTTTCTATAAATTATAACGTCGTCGTTGTTGTCAGTCTGTATTTAATAAGGGCGCTCGGAGGAGAAAATTCAGGGGGGGGGTGTATAGCCTCAAATTTTACTAAAATTCAAACAATTTTATTAATGTATTCCTATGTGTATTTTCAAAAGATTGTAAATGTAGTATAATATTCGATTTTACACTTATAGTAAATAATTAAACATAAATTGCAATTTTATTTTTTTTTCCAAATGTATCAATTGTTGTTTCCTTAATCATTCAGTCTAGTTATACATCGTTGAATATTTTAATTTTTTCCGGACAGCCGCGTGGAGCTAGTACGTTGCAAGCAAGCCGACTAAGAATATCATGANTGCCATTACAGCCACATGTTACAAAATTCAGTTATGAATCTTACTTTTAAATTTTTTCATGGGATCTGTTAATCTCTTCAAATTATCATTTGATCCTATAAAAATAACATTTATTTATATTTCATGTGTTCATTAAGAACTAATATATTTATAATACAAAATGATGAACAATTTCAATATATTTTTACGCACTGATCGTGTGTTTGCAATGTTCGTTCAGAGAGTCTAAATACTCTGTATGTCCTACAAACAAAGGAAAAAAAGAACTAATACTGAGGACAAATGTAGTTACTGTTGTAGATGAGTATTTGGGAAAATGGGATACATAAAGTTATTTAATTCATACCTGTAACCAACATTTAATATTTGCTAACGAAAAACGTTTTTACATTTAAGTTCATTTATACATGTTTTGAAAAGATAATTACGATTTTTGTCAAAAATTGATTTTAACACTTATAAAAAATAAAAAATACTACATTACACTCAATTTTATTTTTGACCACTACGAACAACTTATAATGAATCTCTAGTGATATTGTCAAGCATTTATCTTTAGTCAAACAATTTTATTCCCTGAGTACCACCTAAATAAAAATTACGTTGAAAAATTGCAAAATTATAATGTCTATAAATAAGATTTCAGTCTCAATTTGAAGTCTTTATTCATATTTTTAACTGAATTTCATTAAAAACTAAATTTAAAATAATGTTCCAAAAGAATTATTTTCATAAATTGTCCAGTACTCTCTATGCAATTTTCGGGTTTGCTGGAAACATTTTAAAACAGAAAGAAAACAAAAAAAAAAAAACAATTTTCTTGGTCACCAACCAGATTGCAAATTCAATAAAAGAGATATATNAGTTTTTCTTAGTTATTAATTTTGAAGTATTATGGACTATTACGTGCTCGTAAAAGTCGTTTTTTGTAAAATATTAAATTATCGTAGTAGTTAAGCATCTGAAAGTTATTTTGTTTAACATTTATGCTAAAAATCATTGCATAATGGGGACGTGTGTAGCTAAGGTTGAAGGTAATTTAATGTTTATCTGTAATGAACAATAAATCATTGATAACGAAAAAAAATTCTGTGCCAAGTTAATAATGATGCTTTCTCAACAATATATATTTCATATTATGGTAAAATAATTAAATAGGCATTATATATTTTCTTTAAATTTTCTTCGTTGCATTCACCGATTTTCCTAATTTTTTACTTTTTTCACGGCTTTCCTAGTTTTATTATATTTGCTGGGGAAGCTCTAGAGAAAATCTAAAAATGGCCTCCCTAAGTACTTTTCCAATCAGATTTCCTTTTAGAAAAATTGCTATCATAATAAATTGGAACAAACTTGCTGGTAAGAGTTGTCCACAGAAAAAAAGAGAGCCGTTATATTTTTAACTAATTATTTTAATTTTTCGTTCTTCACATTTGCTAAGAAAACTCGTGAGAAAATTGAAAAATTACCTTCTCACACTTCCTTTCAGAAAATCTACTACATTTAATAATTGAAGTAAGATTTCTGGTAGAAAAGTTGTAAACAGCTAAACAGAAAAGCAGACAGCAGCAGAAAAAAAAACACATCTTTGTAAAACCATAAGCTTCTTCGCTCTACTCAGAATCTAAAAGGACTTTTAAATTATTTATTTATAATTCTAAGTATCGAATCCGTGAAGTAATACATTAGTTTCAAAGATATTTCCCGAGAAGGTATGAAAAAAATAATATGTTTTTTTAAAATAAATGAAAATTTACAACTAAGGTAATAACAGTACCTATCTAAAATCACTGAAGACCGATGAATGAATTAATATTATAGTTTGAGAATTTTTTAATAAATGATAACACAACAACTTACCCATTGTCATTTCTCTATAAATATATGATACATATTTTTTTGAATAAACTAAAAAAAGAAAATAATTAATAATACATAGATAATTCATATTCTCTTAGATATAAACACTTTTTACTGATTTATATCATAAAATTGTAGTTTATTTACTCGAGGAGTAAAATCAATAGAATCACAATAATATTTTTGTTTAAAAAAAATATTACCTTTTCATGAAGCTTTTCAAATATCCACATATATAAAAACTAAGTATACATAATAATGCCTAAAATAATTAAAATACTTACATTCTAATCCGCTATAATCTAAATAAACGATGATAATATATAATTTATATATAAAAAAAATATAACATTTAGTTTCTTTTGTATTTTGTTTTGAATATTAGTTTTACAACAAAATTGATCCCGTCACTATTTAATCCATACTATAATATATTATATAATATTTATAATATAATAAAGAGAACAGATTTCTTTAAAAGATCTTTTAATCATGTGTTCATTAAAGAGGAACATGGGTTTCGTCACGATAAANGATAATATATAATTTATATATAAAAAAAATATAACATTTAGTTTCTTTTGTATTTTGTTTTGAATATTAGTTTTACAACAAAATTGATCCCGTTACTATTTAATCCATAATATAATATATTATACAATATTTATAATATAATAAAGAGAACAGATTTCTTTATATGTTTGTAATGGATGAGCTCAAAAACTTCTCAACCGATTTTAAAACTTCTCTCTGCTATAAAAAGCTACATTATAATTGAGTATCATATGCTGTATTTTATTTTGGAAAAAAATTTGTAGATCCTTACAAAAATTGCAATAAGTAGATTTTTAGGTATTTTTGGTACGAATGTATTACTTGTTTATTTATTAATGAACAAATAACAAACAAGTTATTCCCTTGTTCGTAAATCTTGATCAAGAAACATCTGCCAACTTATTCTCTATATATTCTATCTCTATATTCGCAAATATTCAGAACAATATTTTCTTAAAGAATATTTTTGCTTCGACTCGAAAGAACATGTTGAAAGCTCAATGAGCCGAGTACGAGTGCAAATGCATTAGATTTACTGTCTATTGAGAATGACAAAGCATTTTTAAAAGCCCAGAGACGGAAAGGTCGACCTGGGTCGTTCCTTGGTATTGATCAAAAATGTATAAAAAAAGAAAAAATCATAGAAGATAGCAAACAAGCGACAAATAAAAGAAAATATCGTGCCCAAGATGAACTTGAAGCTTTGTGTACGTTTTTAGTCAATAATATAAATTTTAATTTCAATAAATGTATAATAATATAAAATTAATTTAAGATAAAACTGTAGAACTACAATCGTCGAGCAGTTCTGACGAATGTGACGATGTAGATAGTGAGGAATTTACACATGAAGATGCTATTGGTCCATCAAGTAAATTTTTCAAACTAATCAGAGGGTATGATGATTTTATCTCCAAAAAACTCACAACGGTATTGGACAAATGTAAAGTCAGTGACAGGAATGCTATACATCTTNCCATACTATAATATATTATATAATATTTATAATATAATAAAGAGAACAGATTTCTTTAAAAGATCTTTTAATCATGTGTTCATTAAAGAGGAACATGGGTTTCGTCACGATAAATACACTATTACTAACAGTGTTGTATTGGTAACTTGCATTTGCGATTTCTTTAAAGCAAGTAATCATGTTGATGTTATACTACTGACCTTAACAAAGCATTTGATATATTCATCCATGAACTAATTATTAACAAACTGGTATGTTTAGGTGTTGGTTATTCATTGTTATCTTGGTTTAAATCGTATATCGCTGGAAACAATTTGTTTCTGTCTCGGGCTTCTATTCTGAAATTTATGCTGTTTCTTTAGGTGTTCCTCAGGAAGGCTACTTGGGCCCATTATTATTTTCTATATTTGTAACTCCTAATCCCAGTGGCTTAAACAAAATAAAATACTGCTTTATGCTGACGATATAAAAATATTTCATACAATTAGCTCTCCTGGCGATTCGTTATTGTTCCAAAAGCAAATTAAACATATTCTCCAAATGGGGTTCCCATCTAGAATTATTTTTGAATTTAGCTAAATGTCATGTTCTTTTCTTCTCCAGAGCTCGATCTATCTTGCTATTTTTTCAATGGCTCTAATTTTGAATGCGTTTACAGCACTAAAGATCTAGGATTCAATTACTCGGCTTAACTCTTTCCCAACCCTCACATCGACATTGTAGTTAATAATGCTCCAAAACTCTCGGGTTTGTCATCCGTAACCTAAATTTATATAAATCTGTTGTGTTTACGCGTTTTTTGTACGTTTTCCAGTACAAAATAAATGTTTAAACTACGCAGACTCGATTTATCCATATGTAACCTACAAAAACAATATCTGAGATAAGCCTTGCATATCTGTGGACTCGTCTAGTTGTAATGAGAACCATGTACTCAAATTAACTTTTTTGATCAGTTTATATACTACCCATTCAGAAATGTCGTCGATTCTACGTGGAAATGTATTATTTTAAAGCGATAACTTTTCAACTTCTTTTTAACTTTTATGATCAAACATGATCCCGATTGAGTCTTTTATTGATGGTAAAATTAAAGACTCACCGATTGTGTGAGGCTTACCAGTTTGAGCAATTTATAAGTAAACTTATTTTATATTTAGCAAATGTAGCTTTTTGGTTAATTGCAGTAAAATTAAAAATATTACTTTTTGATGTTTTTAGAGATTCTAATTTTCTTCCTTAAAATCGAGTGGTTTATTCTTCATTTCTGGATAGTTCGTATCTATGTGTCGATGTAGTGTGTTTGATCGAATACTCTCATTTGTAAGTATATATCCACAAATAACACATTGTGGACGTGGGTGTTCTTCGTCTCCATTCCACGAAAATCCAATTCGCAAATATTCAGAACAATAATTTCTTAAAGAATATTTTTGCTACGACTCAGAAGAACATGTTGAAGGCTCAATGAGCTGAGTGCGAGTGCAAATGCATTCGATTTACTGTCTATTGAGAATGACAAAGCATTTTTAATAGCCCAGACACGGACAGGTCGACCTGGGTAGTTGCTTGGTATTGATCAAAAAATTATAAAAAAAGAAAAAATCATAGAAGATAACAAACAAGCGACAATTAAAAGAAAATATCGTGCCCGTGATGAACTTGAAGCTTTGTGTACGTTTTTGGTCAATAATATTAGAAGAAGAAAATGCTTTGAGAAGTATTTGCGTTTTTATTGTACGATTATATATACAAGTATGGTTCAACTCACCATCTTTAATGTTTCGTGGTAATGTTCTGAACTTAAAATATTTTTCAGAAAGACATTATACCTCTATAGACAAAGATATATCTCAGATTGTAGTTAAAAAGTTTTGTGGTCACTTATGGTATTTATCTGCAGAATTATGTGCTTTTGCTTTTTTCGATGAAACTGGGCCACTGGAGATAAAAAGAAAAATGGTTCATGCTCTAAACAACGACAAAAGTTCATCAGAATTAATTTCAAATGCACAACGTTTAACTATATCGCCAAAAAATGCAAATGAGTTATTAGAGAAAGAAATCGATGATTTTATATGTGTTAATACTAAAGCACTATTTAAAAGATTTTCCATCAACACCATTTTAATGAATGAAGATTCAATTAATTGGGTAAACAATGAACACTATTCTAAAGCTTTGTTAGTTATAAAAAATATTCCAGTAATAAACGATTTGGCAGAAAGAGGAGTAAAACTTATAGAGGACTATATTGAATAAATTGATTACGATATTACGATACCAAAAACGAATCTTAAAAACAATACCTTCTACAAGTTGTTAGTGATTACCGCAAAAAATATCCTGACCACAAAAAAGAAACACTTACTGCACTATCACAATAATTTGGTTTTATCATTTATCATTAAAATATATTACAGATAAAATAATTAGGTAACAACGATATTATAATTGTAAATTGTTATTATAAATAATTACTAGTTGTATTTTAAGTTGCTTTAAATATTAAAATGTTTAGGATTATTCTTGTTTTTACCTTGTAATTAAAATATTTGAAAAAATAATATATTTGAAAAATATTATATATGAAACAAATTGTAGAAAACGTAGTGTTCTATTTTTTATATTTAAACAAATTTTTTGTTCGTATTTTTTTCCCGGAGTTATATTAAAAACAATTTAAAAAATTGATAATTTTGAAAATTTTCTATTTTTGTAAATTTAGAGCTGTTGTAGCACGGGTTAATATTAATGAATTTGCCTGAAACTATTTTTGTAGCGTTTTTTTTTAGTAATCGAAACTTTTTAGGGGGGGGGTAACCTGAAAAAAATCACAAGCGAAAAATAAGGACCACCCTAAAGCTCATCGTAATTAAATTTTCTTTTTTTAACTGTTGACGCAGATATTGTTTCTGTTTATTCTTAACTTTATGTCATTGACTATTTATTTAACCATTTGTCCATAAGTGTACAAAAGTAGAAAGAAAACNAATTTATTTGAGAAAAAATAATATTAAATATACAACTGCGTACACGTATCGTATTCTATATACCACGTGTAACTGAAAATAATCAAAAGTTTTGAACGTTGTACAGATAGCTATTAATTTGTGTGTTCTGATAAATAATTATCTTTTCAATAACTATTAATCTAATTGAGTAGTTTTGACTCGGTCTCTGTAAACTCGTAATCGTCACACTCACAGATAACGATTGACGATAACACTGAATTTGAACAACAATGAAATGTAATAGATGTTTAAAAAATGTAATATTTAAAAATATAATCACCACCCACAGTTTGGGAACCTCTGCTCTAGAGCTCCTAATTCCATATTCCAATGCATAAAACTAACTATGGTCACAACCATGTTCCATCGAATATTAAGATCTGCGAATAACATTTATTGCTTTAGGCCACCTTACCATTATTACTGTCTTATCAATATTATACAATTATTATAATAATATTGCAATTTTTATTTATTTATCTACTATTTTAAATATATACATGTGTATTTTCCTATTTTAATTCTTATTTTTTTTCTTTCTTATCACGTGTTATAATAATCATAGTAAATAAATATAAAAATCAAAAATATATACATAAAAATAAAAATAAACAAATAACTGTGCTGCCCGGTGTATTATCATAGGTTATTTATTCGATCAGTTTCGAATTAAAAATTCATCATCAGATGTATCACAGTCAAAATATAAAACGCAACTTTTATATTTTTATGCATATATTTTCTATTTATATATTTATGTATTAACTATTTTAATAATTTTGTTTTTACTTTATTATTTTATTACCTATAATAATTAAATATAGTAATATAGACTGTTTAAATTATTAAGTTCCAATTATTTTATTTGTATTAAACTTTGTACTTTTTATAAAAAGTCAGCCATTTCCTGAGTTCATGATACGATTTTATTTAATTTTAGAGAACACGTCTATTATTTTGATGATTCGATTGACAAAAATAAATTTGTCGAAATTTGTCGAAAATTGATTTATGTCTAATTGCTTTTGGACGACCTGCACTTACGTTCCGTGCTATTGGTACAAATTTTGAATTTGAGTAATAAATCTCGTTGGAGATCATGTCAATATTTAAGTATATGGTTTATGATTTGAAAATTAAACTGGAATAAAGAAATTGTATGACCCATTGTAGGTTATAAGGATTTCCCAGTTCAAAATTTCTTCTTACGACATCTTTGACAAATTTAATAACAAAATGCTTAATTTTCTAATAAAGTACACTGACCTTTTTCCGCGTTAAACATTTTTTCGGCACAATTTCTGGCATCGTTACAATCTATTTCACATAATTAATCATAAATTTAACTTATAATACAAATGCAATAAAAAATTCGTTACATTAATAGTAAAAAAAAAAAAAAAAACGACTGGTATAAATGGTGAATATAATAACAATCACAACAAAAATATTTTGCCAGCTACGTGTAAAAAAATTAATTAAATTTTAAAATAGAAACTTCCCCTTTTGAACACAGCTTTTAGAGGAGAATATTTTTCTAGAAATTTTGATATGCACGATACTCATATCAGATGAACCGTTTATGAGTTATAACGGTTTAAAGTTTCGATCGGCGAAGTAGAGAAGGAAATAAATTGCCTTCTCTAACCCTACCTTATATCTCTGATTAAAATTCTTATAACTCAATAACGATAAATCTGATATTTGTGTTATGCACATCAAAATTTCTAGACAAATATTCTCTTTTCAAGTTTGTGATCTAAAGAAAGAGTTTCATATTTTAAAATCAAAATAATGTAATTATTTAAAGTATATCAAGTAGAATTAAAAAATTAAAAAATAGTTTTAAAATAAAGCTTAAGAAGATGTGATTTCAGAGTAAAAATGTAGTTGTCGAGTAACAGAATCACTCTATTAATTATTATGAAAAATCGACAATTTTTTTTTTTTTTAATACGGAGAACTTTAGCTATGGTGTAATTTTTTAATTTTTGAGATAAATTATTGGAAAATGTAAAACGCTACGTTACAGATGATTTTTTCCTTATTAAAACAAAAAAAAAAAATGATCGATCTATCATAATTATTAAAATAAAAGTTTCGTTACGCGTAATACTGTTTTTCTATGTAAAATTTTTGATAAATAATTATATCGGAACGGTTGAGATGCGGTGCGCTACGCCATCTCCCGTGCGTTGAAGCTTTTGAAATGGCGTTATATAGATAAATGCTGAACATTTTATGGACTAATTGTTTTACATTTCAAAGTGTACTGGAAAGGATGGAAAAAAAGAAGGAATTTTTAACGCCAATAGAAGGTAAAAAGCTAGAATACGTGGGACATATCATGAGGAATAATCAGGGATACAAAATACTCCAGCTTATATTACTAGAAAAAAATCGAAGAAAAAAGAATATCTTGGCTGATGAATGCCCATGACAATAAAAAAACAATTGATTTATATCGATTTTTTTGATAAGGACGACATTGTCAATATGACAGATATTTTTATACTTTTGTAAATACCATTATACGAATACTTATATCTTATAATTGCAAAATAATAGGTAAGTAATTTGTATTACTATACACTCGTTAAGTGAATCGAAAATTGTATTTAACATCACAAATTATGTCTCAACTTTGTGATGCTGGACATAAACGAGATACCTAATAACTAGAAACTATATTAAACTTATTCACCTTGTTTTACAGTGATTTTTTTTCTAATTTAATTAAATTACAATATATTATATACATATTTGGTAAACTCAACATTGTGGTACATAATATTTGTTTAAACGAGTCGCATAATATAAAATTAGTTCGAATTCCAAACATGCACGACCAAGAATAGAGGTGATCTTCCGATTTTAATATATCCATAAATAGAAAAATCAAAAAATGTATTTCACCATGAGCAACTAGATTAAAAATTTCAGAAAAAATGTCTATTCTTATCTTTTGAATAAAACTAGATTTGTAGTAGAAACATTAGTACAAAAATTTCAATAATCATGAAATAGTTATTTCTTAAACACCTATCCATTTATTTCGAAGTTTTTCCCGATTTATACTAATAATTTTTAAATAAATTTGGGAAATCAAAGGACGACCTTTTTCATGAATTAACTATATTAAATTTCTTTTCAGAATAAGTGTTACACTTTTTATATTAGAGGATGATTTGTGATAAAAATTGTGTACAACTTACTCTCTAAAGCATTTTTAATGTTGCCTGTTAAACAAACAATTATCATCAGCCATTTTTATAATTCTGTTTAAATATTCTCTTCATTGATTATAATAAATTATTAGGTAATTTAATTATTATTGTGTATAACAAAAATATTTTTACAAACTATTTTTAATATTAAAATTAATAATATTATATTATTGTAAATATTTTAATTTTGATGAAATAGTAACATGAACCTGTTTGGAAAATGAATACATTTTCAAAAAAAAAAATTGGCTTTCCATTAAAATTTATTTATTTACCTTATTTTCCTATCGTAAGATTATAATAATATTAGTCTATTATATAAAAGTAAATCTATGGGACTGACCATCCTTGTCCTAAACTTCTAATGGACTCGATCTTCCGAGTGCGAACCGTTTCAATCAAAATCGACGTTGAACATTGTTCCCAAACACATTTTAGTCATTTTAATATTAAGTTGGCAACGGTTTTTTAATAATAGTTAAAACTCATAAAAAATTATTTTAAAATCATAAATTATTATTTATTATTTTATAAAGTATTTATCTTGCACAAAAAAGTTGTACTAAATACATTCTAAAAGTTCATATTAAATTTTAAAATGTAAATACAAATTATACATTATTAGTTAAAATACAAATCATTATAATTTATTTTTTTATTAAAAATCATCACAAAACACAAGTTTTTATTTTTTAGAATTTCTACATATATTGTACACAAATTTATACATATACCTAGTCATTTCACCAGTTCTTTATAGGCACGGATCCAGAGCAAATATCTGTAGGAGGGGTGGCCAACAATTTGTTTATAACATAAATAAAATTACAATATCTATGATTCTAATTAAAGTACCATATAATAGTTTAAGTAACCTCAATCTATTTGTGATTGTCCGGGACCAACTTTGGTGGCGACATAGCGCACTCTTGTAGTGGCAACAATTAATACATAATAAGATCTATACGTCTAATCGATATGGTATTCTTGTCATTCCTTTATGTTTGTTTTGTTTTATTTTATTGGGAATTTTAAAGTTACAAATTTTTAAAAAATAATAATGTGTGATTTGTATTTACTTTCTTATGTGTTTCAACTAGTATTTAAAAATGATTGCATACTTAATTTTAAAAATGGCTAAAATGTGTTTGGATAAAACAGGAAAGCTCAAGTCTTACCGAAACGGGTTCCGTCCGATCTTTCATCTCACAAATACTGACTATCTTCTAATTATTTTCAATCGCATCCAGCCACAGAGTTAAAAACCAGCTCTTCTTCATTTTACCTTTTTGCCTCTTTTTTTTTTCATTATAATCTTACTATTTCTGATTCCATTCTGCTCATTATATGTTCAAGCCATCTCAGAATATTTTCTCTCATTTTGTCTACAATGGAAACCACGTCTAAGTTACTGTTTATGTATTCATTCCTTATTTTATCTTTTCTCGTATCATCACTCATCACTTTGGGCATTCTCATCTCTATTACACTCATTCTCTCTTATATTTTTTGTCCTTCACTCCGAACCATACAACATAGTCAATCTCACCATACTTTTGTAGAACTTATATTTAAGTCTCATTAAAATTCTCTTGTCATCCAAAATAACTTGCCCTCTTCTTTATTTTATTCAATTACACTTACTTCTATGTTTCATCTCCTCGTCAAACCACCGCTCTTTTGTATAGAGATAAAAGATACTAAAAAAAATTTAAACCTCGGCTATTACATTACTACCAGTTGACTTTAGCTTACTTGCCCTGTTCTTCCAAAATCATGCTGTCATATAATCTGTTTTAATTTTATTTATTCTTAGATTCTTTCCTTCAAATTTTATTCTCAATTCTTCAGGTCAATTGATAAATTGTTCCTGAATTATTTCTTATTCAAGTTATATCATCTGCAAACATTTTGCATTACAGTACCTAATTTTACTTCTATCAGCATGCAATTAGGTATGACAATTAACCGAACATTTTTTTAGAACATAAATATTACACCAGCTTTCGACTTGACGTAACACTATTTGTTGCCTCTTACGACTGGTAGAAATACCGTGAGAATTTCCTGAACCCCTCCAACAAGAATATTATATAAAAATAAAATAAAATAACTCACTTAAACACGTTTCTAAAAAAAATTACACATAAATATATATTTTTAGCGTTTCAAAATAATAATGAACAAAACAGTTAAAATAATTTACATTATGACTACATTAATTTCAATATATGTAGCCTACAGGACACTAATNATATTTGTCTATGTCGATTATACCGACTGCGATTTTCACATGAATGCATTGGATTAGTGTACATTTTTATGCTCTACATAGAACACTACTGCGCACGTGACAAGTTTGTTTCCGTTCCTCTTTCTTGCAGGCTATCAGGTTTTCGCACTCAATATATTAATAATTGCATAAGCCTCAAACGCACAAAGGCTCTATCATTTAATGATAATATAATTGATATCAAGAGATAAACTACTAGAGTTATTCATGATTGATATTGTTTTGTTATCATAATGATAACATCTTCTGATCTTTTAAATACCAACCTATATTTTTGATTCGGCAGAAGGAGATGTAAAGCATAATAATTGAGTGAGAGGAGTCTCTTATCCACAAAACGAAATAATTAACAGTGGAATATCTCGTAAAAGGGTTTAAAAATTTTTGAAACTCAATGTTTAACACAATATATTTATATGTTTATTAATTGATAATTATATTTAATAAATAAAAATAATAAATTCAAATACAATTGTGTCCAAAATATATAAAATTTTTCCTCGATTTCAAAACTGCAAGTTTATGCATAACTTCCAAGTGAACGATTTTTTTTTATAAAAGATCGTCTTTTATACATAATATGGATAGTAATGACATGTTTTCATCTACTAACCTTAGATAATTTGTTTTACTTTTAAACATAAAAAATGATCGTTCCCCACTTGCATTCGATGAAGCCATATACTTAACAAAATATTCGCAGTTCTATTTCTACAATTTACAATTGGAAATGTTATAAATAGTGAAACATTTTAGAAGACCTATTTAAATTTAGAATATTTTGCAATGAACATAATTGCATTATTACTCAAAAACATTATAAATATCAGTGTAAAATAGATTTATAACTAGTCTATCAATAAAAACATAAAATAATTCACATTTATTTTTCGTCTTTTGTACTCCTTCCGAAATTTCTTTGTTAGTTTAAGATTCATGGAAAAATGTGTTTCTTTTATTTTCTGTTACCACTGTTATGAACCCCTGGTTTATTAGTTAGGTTTAAGGACCAATGGTTAGTAATAAGAATATTGTGTAAATGATAGTGTATATATATTGTGCAGGCAAAAAGGAATTCGCTAAGTTAACCCTTTTAGCCTTGCGGCGGTTCGTACGACGTCAAGAAAGACATATGACGGCAGTCGGGACATAGCATAGCATTCGGCAGAACCTCCGTAAATCTATGTTTTTCTATTTGTAATAACAGTCGATTTCTTAATTTTTAAATATAGTAGCAATTCTATTCAATAATTTGTGAATGTCCACTTAAGTTATTTATTTGTTTTAGACCGTCAAAGCAGTCCAAAACAGGAAAATATTGTTTTCGACATTCAACAATACAATTACACGGAATATGACAAAAATAACAAGAAGGAAAAAAATCCAGCGATTACAATTAATTATATAAAATATGTATAAGGCACAAACAATTCCAGGGCTAGGACATAAAGAAGAACTGATATAGTAAAGATACCAAAAAAAGCGGATTAATCCACCTTGATACAGAATAAAAAAAAAAAACCGTGACTCCCATATTCTTCTCGTTTGTTAATCAGCGTAAACATGTCAAACAGAAAAGCTAAATGAAAATAAAATTCAAGAAAATATAAAGCCAATCAGTAATAGATTAAATTATTTGCTTTAACGGTTTTAATTTGTCTAAATAGCAACCGTAAAAGACAATTATAATTAAATAAATAATCCAGTAGATATTTACAAAAACAAAAGAACGAAAAAAAAAAAAAACGTTTATATTATCAAAAATATATTTGATTTAATTGAAAATTAAATAATATAACAATAAAACTTTTTTAAATTACACACAACGATATTATTACTTTAAATTTGTTTGGCTTATGTTTTCCACCATAAATATTGCTCCAATAGAAAAACTACAAGTGATCTGTTTTGTTCGTTTAATATACAGTCAAGAGAAATAGGAAATCATTTATAG